CAGAATTGCATGCAATCAAAACATCTAACTAAAGACCGTAAGTCTGCATTCGTTTTGCAAGCTGTTCCTTTTTTTAGTAACTTACCCCCAGCTCCCAGGTTGTTTTTACCAGAGGTTTGGATGTATGGTTCCCAAGGTTTGGGTTCATTTGATGTGGCCCCTGGGCAGGAATGAAAAAGGAGTAGGAATTTCCTCTCTTTGTTCAGTGAGGGAGAGGAGGCTGGTTACATTCAACGTCCTTTATCTTAGTGTAATTTTAAAATCTTTTTTTTTTGCTGTGCATGAAGAACACCCATGTTTAACAATTTGCTTCTGCTTGGCTGGTCTCACTTTGTTGCAAGTCTGAACTCATTATTTAAATCAGCTGCTCCTTTTGTACCTTTCGAATTGTGGTGTATAAGGTTGACGCATTTTCTAAAGCGGCAGGTAGTGAGAGAGACAACGCAATTTATTTAAATTACCACACAGAAATATTATATTTTGTGTGATTTTTCAAGGTCTATTCTGAGTCAAGGTCTAACAGAAAGATGTATGTGATTAAAAAAAAACGAATTGCAGGAAGATGTAGGAAATGGGCTGTTTCTCTGGAGGCGAAGAGATTGAAAAGTCACTACAGAAATGTTCAGCTCAGATCATTTTAATGAACATGCTTTTGGCATTTTTCCTGTGCTGCTTTTGCCTTTGGTTTGGGTCAAAGTTGCTCTAAATATTAAAATCATTGTTCACCTTTTGAGTTTTTATGACTGAGCTGCCGTTTGAGAGAGATGATACTGCCGTTTTGTTTTTAACTGTGTAAACTTGCTTCAGGGTTTGAAAGGGGTCTGTATGGGGAAAAATGAGAATCCTTAACACCTCACTTGTGAAATGACTCGCTTTGTCATTAAGGTAGTTGAAGATGCATACTTATCATGACAGGACACTATACTGTAAACAGGCGCCGTCCTTCGGATGAGACGTAAAACCGAGGTCTTGACTCTCTGTGGTCGTTAAAAATCCCAGGGCGTTTCTCGAAAAGAGTAGGGGTGTAACCCCGGCTTCTTGGCCAAATTTCCCATTTGCCCTTACCAATCATGGCCTCCTAATAATCCCCATCTATGAATTGGCTTCATGACTCTGCTCTCCTCCCCACTAATAGCTGATGTGTGGTGAGTGTTCTGGCGCACTATGGCTGCCGTCGCATCATCCAGGTGGGGCTGCACATTGGTGGTGTTGGAGGGGAGTCCCCATTACCTGTAAAGCGCTTTGAGTGGAGTGTCCAGAAAAGTGCTATATAAGCGTAAGACTATTATTATATAGAACAGCTGCCACCTAAACAAGTTGTAATATTGTGTTTCTGGTGAGTGGCACGCTACACCGGAGGCCTGAAACTGAACCCAGGGCCCAAGTACTGTGAGACAGCAATGCTAACTATTGCAACACTGTACCTCTCATAGTAGTAGTGAAGGATTTTAAAAGTTAATTATTGTACTGTTGCTAGAGTTTTTTTCCATTGTATTTTGAGTGTTATCTTTGGCAGTATTATAACTGCACCAAAACAGCCTTTGGGGTACTGTCAGGTCCTGCAGGGAAGAACTTTTTGACTTTGCTCTCCTTGGTCTAAGAAGCTAAGCAAGGTTGAGCCTGGTCAGTAGTGGGATGGAGTCCTATAAGGGAAACCAGGTTGCTTCTGTAGGTGGTGCCTGTGGACCACTAGGTGGCAGTCTTTCCCCTGGACTATAATTTTAAAGACTAATGCCCAGTCTGGTAACTGTGTCCTCAAGGAGGTGCAGTCCTTCGTATGGTTTGTTAAACCTAGGTCCTTAGTGTTTCGACATTTAAGATTTTCAGTTTTGTACCTAAATATCACTCTCGCTTTGCATAATGTGACCTACCTAATGTTACTTTCGATTGGTGAAGCAGTTTCTTACTTCTCTATTTGAGCTGCTCTGTTATGGTCTCCTTCTACAGTATATGCAAAGTGCTTGAGGGTTTTTAGGAGTTTTATGTACCTTATAAATTCAAGGAATTAAATAATTTCTTGCCAATTGCTGATGTTTTATAATGCTGTGACTTGGGAACATTGCTGTTTGTTAGTGAAATGAAATTCATTTGATGCTGTTTCTTTCTAGTTGTACCCTTTTACTTTCTGCGTTGAGCCCATAGTGAGTAAGATTTCCGGTTACCTCTGAGTTTTGTAATTCTTAACCTGAGTGGTAGAGCTTTAAACCGAAACAGGATCATGAAGAGCACACATTACAGGAGGAAGGAAGTGCAATATGTGGGAAATGACACATGAAGATCATATAGGTGATCCACTCTGTTCCTTTTAAAGAGTGCGAAAGGTTAGGTTCACATCATTTAACTTTTTTTTTTGTTAAAATTCCCGGTAATGCAGTTGCCTTTCAGACAAAACTTATGTGAACAAAGCTGCCTTCCTTGTCCTTTATTACACAACTCTACCTGTTTTTTTTTTTACTGTAGGGAAGGGCTAATTTGCAATCTAATCGCCATTCTGTATTACAAACTACCTGATGCTGTACCCTTACGTTTTGTTGAGAGCTTAATTAATCCAGTTTTTATAGGGAGCAGTGTGATCTGGTGTAAATGCTAATGCAACGCAGCTATTCTAATCTGAAAATGCAACCTGAGTGAGCAGCTCTGGTCAGCACTTTGCCTTTAATTAATTCCCAGTTTATCCAGCTGAGTCTGTTGGGGGGCCTGAGGGATATATCAGGTCTTTGCAGCTGCAGAGCAATGAAATTATGCAGAAATCCCACATCTCCCCACTAATGCCAAGCTGCCTACAATCTCTCCTTAATGTATTCGCTCAAGCAGCAAGACCTTGTACTGTTGCTTCCTTTGGCCAGGATCCCACTCTACAAACCTTCAGTTTAGGTTAGTCTCTTGATTATTTGTTAATTGAATGCATGTTAGCTAAAAAGTTCAAGTATTTAGTTTTATTTCTGCAAGTTCTTCTGCATTCAGAAATCACGATTTCTCAGTTGCACTCTGTTCATTCCTGTGTGGAAGGGAGAGGGAATAGAAAGGGTTATGAATTCTGAAATTCATTTTGAAGTAACATATTACTGAGGATGAGCCAACAGGAATTATGTGAAATTGTGAAGTCTTTTTTTTTTTTTTTTGGCTGAACAGAAAGTAGTCTTTCAAAATGGCTCTCTTTATAACCAATGAAAGAGGCTTTTTTACAAGTCCGTACACTACAGTATTGGGGGGAAAACCTGTTTTTCCACAAAGACAATTTACCACTTCGCTGCTGCTGACTGTGTAGCACATTGTTTATTAGTGCTACCAGATCTCTGTAGGAAGGTTCAATTTCCCAGTCTTTTGTGTTATTTTGCATCCATGTCATGTCTCTCTTGATCTGATCTGCAAAACGTTTATTCATTTAAACCCCCTCCTCCAGTGTCCTATGTTGTCTCTTTGTGAATATGAGCCTTATAAAAATGAATGATAAAATATTATTTCCTCGTGATATTTTCTCACTTCTGTGGTTTATGTACTGTAGTTGTTAGTTTGCCCATGAAGCATCAATTCTTCAATATGAAGTTAACTGATTCCATGGAAACTATGAATGGTGTTTTGGTGGGACCAATGACAGTGTTAACACATTCAAATTTCAGACTGTGCTTCAGACATGCATATAAGTAGACTGGATGCCAGAATAGCTTTTTTTATACCTCTAGAAGTAATTTTGTGCATTTGGAACATTATTTGGAATATGTACAGGTGATCACCTGGTGCTAAGAATTCTGATGGTTCGGGGTGTTTAGTTTGTCATGGTCAGGTTGTAGGTTTTGAGAATGGAATGGGGGTTTGATAAGTTATGTATAGAAAAGATGGCAAGCTTCTTTTTGCCACTGCAGAAATTGCAAATGGCATTCTACAGTCTTTAGTTGCTAATTTTCAAGGTACTGAGTGTGCAACATTATACTCGTTTTAAATGAAGTTATTAAAATTAAATTACTCAATGTGGTAGAACTGATGTTTGTAAAATATAGAGGCAGGCGTGACACAGTGTCCCTAGGAATATTTAAAATGCATATGTTTTTATGGGTTTCAATTTGGGATCTTGGTGCTGATGTGTAAATCAGACTTAACTCGTTTTTTTTTCCCCCCTGTAATGACATCAATACATATACAAAATGTTATTCAGTATTCCTGACTTTATTGTTAAATCTAAGCAGCATCGGTTTTGGGTAATGTTTTTTAAATTAAAATTGTTCCGTTGAACTGGTTTGTTCACCAAAACTATAATTGTTTTTTATAGTGTGCTAAAAATCTGAAGAATTACCTTTCCACCCAAGGCTGAAGCTAACGTACTGATTTGGAGAAACCAGAGTCTCTGAATGTGTCCTTCGAGCAGAGTTCTCTTTACAGTCTTTGCAAGGGAAGTTTTATCCTTAATTAGGGGTATGAGTATTTAATTTAAGTCTCGGAGGTTTATAGGTTTAAGTATACAAAATCAGGCAGCTGCCTTAAACTGAATGATGGTTATCACTTGTTTTTTGGACTTTGTAAGTATTAGTGTAGCTATAGGTAAAGTATTGATGAAGTAGTACTTTTTTTTTTTGTTGCTAGGTATGAGAGTAGTTGAAGCCTTATGCTTTTTCTCTTGACAGTGGTGAAATATAATTGGTCTCTTTTCTTTTATCTTTTTGTTAAAGTTGAATTGTGTCACTAATCAAGGAAGATGGGATTAAATATCCTCACTAAGAAGCTTTGGCCCTGATTCTACAGAGAGAATATGGAGCTGACCTCTCAAATATTAGTTAGTTAGTCTGACAGTCAAGTGACACTTGGCTCCATCCTCAAGACAGGGGGCCTGTTCTGACATGAACTAAGAAATCCATTCATCCAAATGACCAAACCATTCAAATTCAAATGCCATTCATAGGAGCTTTTCTTGGGCGGTGCGTTGAGTCCCTGACCAAATCCAACACGGTCTGCATCCGTTTGCTTGGTGTCCGTCACAGCGGTCTGTCTCTCTGTTGCTCTACCAGGCCGCCGAGTCCATCCAAGCTGAAGACGAGAGCGCAAAGCTGTGCAAGCGCAGGATTGAGCACCTGAAGGAACACAGCAGCGACCAGCCGGCTGCAGTGAACATCTGGAAGAAGAAGCGCATGGATCGCATGATGGTGGAGCACCTGCTGCGCTGTGGTTACTACAACACTGCTGTGAAGCTGGCCCGGCAGAGTGGCATTGAGGTCAGTAGCTGTAGATCTGCTGCTATAACCAGCAGCCATATTTATATAACTTTTATTTAGCTAGGTTGGCACTTTGGGAGAAGCTTGATTTACTTGATTTTCATTCATCAGCATAAGTGATGAGCACCCAGTAAGCTGAGGAATAAATGGTAACAATTTAGACACAATTTAGATATTTTAAACTGTGCCATTTGATCTGATAACGATTAATGTGATTTATCTTTGGCTATTGGTTTGCATCCCTAAAAATCACAAAATGCCTTTAAAGGAAAATGGAGAGGGACCGTTGCAACTGCTCCAGGGCCTCCTATGGTGGCTTGTCGCAGATTTTTTTTCCGCTAGCAAGCTATTATAAACCGCATGAGATTAGCACACACTTAACCAATACATCTCAAGGTAAAAACCCGAATAGGTCACATTGATATAAGATTTTTTTTTTGTACTTGTTACCCTATGTTTTAAATGGCACGCTGAAATCTTCAAACACATCTGATATTTGGTGTAGTGGTAAAATGCCGCCTACTGGCATGACCGTCACCTTGACTGCAGAGGCTTGGGAGGTTGTACTTGTTCGCTGGTAGCCAGGAGCCCTGGCCAACTAATCCCAACCCTGTCCCTGGTAGTGCTGAGTCTGTTGTGCACCATTCTTTGGGGAATCCCCGTTTATCTTGGCTGGTGACGTGATTAAGGCTTGAACTTGGAATGTCTGGATCGTACATCTCAACAAAGAGAAGGAGCCATTATTGGCTGAGTCTCTTGGTTGAGATGTACAGAGCCTCATAATGACTATATTTACCATAGGGTCTAAAGTTTTATTACTTTGCTTTACTGTGTAACAACTGACACTTCAATTTAAATGTCCATGAGTAGGGTATTTGTAAATTATAAAAAATCGTTTATATGTAGTGACTTTATTATATCCAAGGAGAAGTTTGTTATAACAGAATGTGTGCATCAGCTGGGATACAATCCCTGACCTGTGGCAGGTGAGAATTCCAACATTGAAATACCAGTATGCTTAAACATGCTAAATTAAAAACTACAAGCATTTCAATTAAACTACAACCATTTCATTTTACATTGCAAGGATATTAATGGCAAGTGTTTGTGGGAAATGTAGTTAAAATGAGCACATCAAAACTTCCAAAATAAATACAGCAAGTGACCTGAGTTAAAGGATTTTATACAGAACATGTTTATGAAGAAGATGAAATACTGTTTACATTATTTATTTTCAGCTGCCACTACCAGCTATATGAGCTACATTATATTTCGATTGTGGATTTAAAGAAGTAGTAGAACAGATTAAATGAAGATACCTTTTATCGATCATTGGGCAGTGAAAAACTGAATTTGAAATGTGTAATAATACAGAAGTACAACTTAACTAGCTTTTTATGGACTAAGTTACTGTGAAGTTTTCTGAATGGCTGCATCTGTATACAGTAGCTTGTTGAGGTGTGAGCTGAGCTCTTAGTGCTTCATACAACTTCATATTAAGCCTAGGAAAGTTCTGCCTTTAAATATTTGGCCACAGATTCCCTAATGATTTAGTTGTGAATTGCCTTTTGTCAACTCTGGAAAAGCCAACTTAATGTAGTTTGACTTCTAAAACCTAAAAATGTTTGAAGTTTCTTTATAGTTTTTCTTTTAATTACTTTATGAATAGTGATTATGCTGAAAAGTGAATCAGTTCTGTTCAGCTATTTAATTTCCATATGGCTCTACTCCAGCCGACTTGTGGGGATATACACCAAAAAGCTTCAGGATGCGTGTGGCATTTCTCACTCTTTATTAGTAATTGGGATGCAAACTGATATAATAAATATTGAAGAAATAGATCAAGTCTTCCTTTTCACATTCATCGATGTGTGCTCACTATCAAATTCTCATAACAAGAGGTGCAATACACACTCTGGGAACATCCCAATGTGAAATTGTTAGAATACATGAGGCTCGATCACACAGACCCAAGCTTTTTTTGCCCTCGCTCTTTGTAGACTACGTCGGTTTTCACCTTGGATTCAACAAATTAATCTGGAATCAAGAAGCACTTCCTCACCTCCCCTATACATGCAGGTACCGCCATCCCCAAACTGGGGAAGCTGACAGCTGAAAAGGCTAAATGATTCCAAAAATACCTTCAGTGAAAGCAGTGAACAACTAGACTGTTTGGATTTGAATTATGGAATTCATAGTTATACTGAAAATGAGGCTGTGTTTATTTAATATTTTTCACTAGAACAGGTGGCTGGTTACTTTTTCTATGTTCACTTTGTAACGTGTAAGAAAAAGATGGTCAACTTAAATGTTATACTTCTCGGAAACGGTCAACCACCTTTGTAACATTAGTACCACCTTCAGTATTTAAATACAAAATATTTCCATGTCATGCCTTCTAGTCTTTGTCCGATTTGCTTTTTTTGTCAACTCTGGCAAGGCCATCTTAAAGTAACTTGGTAAAGAAACCCTAAGGATTCATCAGTCCACCATCACTAGACTATAATTGTGCTATAGTCTGGGAACCAGTTGGAGGCGGAGCTGTGGCTCTGTGGCTAAGGATCTGTGGCTGGTAGGTTGCTGGTTCAAATCCCACGGCTCACAGAGGAACCCTACTCTTTTGGGCCCCTGCGCAAGGCCCTTAACCCCCCGCTGCTCCAGGGGTGCTGAATGAATGGCTGACCCTGCACTCTGACCCCAAGCTTCTCTCCCTGTCTGTGTGTCTCATGGAGAGGAAGCTGGGATATGTGAAAAGACAAGTTCCCAATGCAAAATTGTAGATGGCCAATAAAGTGATCTTATCTTAACCACATGTAGTATCCCAGATAGGATCACCTGAGGGTTTGCTCCTGCACAGCACTTGGTTGATAATAAAGTGTTGAATCATTGAAGAGCCATAATCCCAACTTCAGGAAAAGTGTGTGTCCTATTCGGGCACTCCTACAACTTTTTATTTCTCGATATCACAGTGCTTCTTTGCTACTGTTGTGATGGCTCACGAACGCTTTGCTTCAGTCCAGGATTAACAGCATACATTCTGCTGCATTATGGTGATTTGGGGAATATATGTATATCGGCATCAACCACTTCCCTATAATGTTGGTAGTGTGACTTGACTGTGAATGTTCCATTTGAGCTATGCTTCTGACAAACTTATTTCCAAATACTTTTAGACAGAATGGAATGAATGAATCTAAAGTGGTGCAGAGTATTTAGTCCTGATGCAATGGATTTTGTAACATGACCTTGGTGTTGGGGTGTGGCTGTTTCATTGGAAATGTTGGGGAACTCATTTATCCTCTGTCAAAGAGAAATCATCTAAAGTTCAACTGCAGTACATGTTATATAGCAAATCAAAGTCAATCTAGAAAGACTGTTCTGTGTTTCACTTCAGCCATGTGCAATCAAAGTGCAGATTGATATTGATGGTATTTTTTATAATGTATTATTAATTAACGCACGAGAATATAACTATCTTGAATTATTTCTATTGTGGGCTCAAACATTAGTATGAAATCTCCAATATGCTAGAATGAAATTATCAGATATTAAGACTTTGCTTAAAATCTTCATAATTTTCAAAATGAAAGTGTATTTTGTAATGAACAGAGTTGGTGCGACCACTTGCGAATTGAAAAATGAGAATGTGGGGAAAAGGCAATAAAATACATTAAAAGAAAGGCAATTATTTCTTTTTCAGTATATGAATGCTGTTGGAAACGTGCCCTGAGTCCACAACTGATCAGCAGTACATGAAAAATTACATTAATGTGGCATTTTTAATATAGAATTTGCTTCTAAACATGTTTTACTATGTCACTGATTCAGATAACCTGACATTAATATGAAAAATTGCTCTAATTTGAGAGAAGAAAATTTTCGCTGTAATATTTGTTGAAAGCTTTTATCTGGAGCTACCAACTTGCAGCAATTGCATTATAGCCATCTTCTCTGCCAATTACAGCTAAATGTCTTGCAGAAAAAATAAGGGTAAAGCAGTAAAGGTCAGATTTGTATTCAGTAAAGTAAAATGATTGCTGGAAATTTAATGAATGTGAAATTTGCAGATGCAAGCATTGCAATCGAACAGAACCGTAATTAAGTTGCGCCATATTCACAGTGTAAGATTTTAAGTGATACAATGTAGTTGGGCTGGTGTAGGACAACATAGCAGCAGTTCAATTTAAAAAATGGGGGGGGGGGGGAGTTATTTAATAAATGGCAAAAAAATCTGTAGTGTTGTGCCCTTTAAAAAATTATATCAACACTTCTGAATTTAGAGCGAGTTACATTTAGAAATAACTGAAGGCCTCTTGATCATTTTGGATTTGATTACCCGCATTTCAGGTTTTTCCAACTGAAACAGTCTGCAGAATGAGTGGGTTAAAAGGGTTGTCTTTAAAACATATTTTGTATGTTAAGTTCTTATACAAAACTATTTTATTTATTCTGCAGTGTATCTATTACCAGGTTTGTGACAATACCGTAAAAGTTTGAAGCAGACGTGGTGCTTGATATTCTGCATTAGTGGTCTGTTGCTTTAAGTCCTCCATTCCTTTTTGGAAAGGTTCACTCCAGTAGGGGAACAGGTTTACTCCATCTTCCCTCAAATAATCTGTTGGCTCAGTCTGTCGTTTAAGATCGCCAGCAGCTGCATTCTGATCATGTTGACTTCATTCCGCTCTCTGCAGAGTCTTGGTCTTTGCTACAGCAAACCTGTTGTGCCCTGTCTGGTAACTGCATCCTCCCTGAAAAAGCAACTGTACAAACATTGGGTCTGCTTAATCTACAGAGCTGATATACATCATTAATTATAAGTGGAAAGCTAGTAGTGTGTGTTTTGAGGTGGGGGTAGAGTTTCTTTTGACTCTTGCTCTCACCACAGACACAGAAGTGAATATTATTCATGGAGGACCCTGACTTAACCATAAACGATCATTCCCTTATATATTTTGCACACCCTCTGGGTAATGTCCTGTTCGTAGTTTCACCTAAAGGAA